AATACTCCGATCTATACACAGAATAAGAAAAAACCAACAACCATCACTTCAGTTCCTACCAGCTGATATTTCTAATTGCTATTTCTCCCCTTTTTAGGTGCATATAATTTTCTTTAACTCCATGATCTCTTTTTTATGTCTTTATCAGTGGATTACACACTAAGTGTAGCTTTTCCTTCTGTTTCCTCTGTAATTTCAGAAGAATCCAGTTCTTTTATGGGCATAAGTGCTAATTTGTTCTAAGGAAAAAGAGAGTGCACAAAGATTCTACCATCCTTGTAAGTCACTTATGAGCTGATTAATCAAAACACCTTCTTGGATCTCAACAGAATATATTTTTTCTATTTCATCTCTCCACAGAAGCTTTCATACACATATTGTGCTGGGGAAAGGTAAGTGGTGGAAAGTTCTTGCTTAATGGTAGTAATTAAGATTCCATTTAACAAGGCAAGGAATTATTAAGTGTTGATTGTTGCAGGTGAAAGAATGAATTTACACCCTTGTGTCTTGATGGAGAATCTTGGACCTGCAGTTGTAATAACATCAGATGTCAGGAGCATAAAGACAGCATCCCTATATATCCAGCATCTCAGCAGAAACACTGGCTGAGGCCTCTCCAAAATAATTAGCCTGCGAACCTGATTTTTGTGTGGAGCTGCCATTTATACATTGCATGCTGAGGTTGCAATCCTAACCCCCTATTTGCCTGGGAGTAAGCCCCATTGAATTAAATAGGACTTGCTTTTGAGTGGACATGGTTGGGATGGCACTGGAGATGTGTTTTTGCAAGATATCATTTTAAATGTCACAATGCTGCTTGCTCTGGATGATGTGGTGTAGAGAAACTGCAGGTATGTAAAGGGTTAAACATTCCCTCCCTCTATGCTGCTTCTAATTTGCTTCCTTAAAAAAAGAAAAGTGGAGGGGACTGTTACGCATATTAGTAAGCACTGTGTTGTTAGCCTCTGTGAGTTAATGGGTTCGAGTTTGACACACTTCATTGTTTGACTCATCAATAGCAGTGGTGTAAACCCAGCTCAGCCTTGCAAGCTGATTTTCAGAGTTCAAATCCAGACTGCACTGAAGGATCAATTTAAGCTGTTTGGCTAGGAGAGAGTTCATGTTCCATTCTCTGCCTCTTTCACAGCAGTCCACTATTAGAACACGTTCTATAGCTTTCGGGGGCTGTTTTCAATCATGTAGCACATTGTACTAGGATCAGCTGCAAAAAAGTATTCATAGATTTGGTTGGAAACTCAAATAATTTTTTGTTTTGTGATAGAAACCATTTGAGCAATTGTTTAAAGGTACGAATAGGTTTATTTTTTCCCTCAGCGTGTTTTTAAAAACATGACCACAATGATATTCCATCTTTCTTCCAAGATACCTAACGTATTCCAGTCAGTGTGTCTTATTTCATCCTCACAACAACCCTGTGAAGGAGGATTATTCTGGGGGCTAGTTATTTACTCAAAAACATGTCACATAAATTACAATGTATGTTACTCAGTTTGAAATAGTTATTTTCAATTACACACACACACACACACACCACCCATGTGAGACACATGACAAAGCATCAAACTACACGTGACAATTAGGCTGCAAATATATAAACACTTACCTGGGAATAAGTGTCCCAAACCCCTGCGTACTCTGAGGTAAGTCCCAAGGGCAACACCAGAGAAAAGTCAGACAGTCCAGTGGTCAAATACAGCTTCAGGTCCAATGCAATGGGGAAGGTTTGAAATCAAACCGTAAGGCCAGGCTGGAATCCAAGGGTCAGTCCCTAAATCACAGCCCAAAGGAGTTACTAAAGCAGCCAAGCCATGGTCTATCAATAGTGAAAGCTGAGCAGACAGTCTCTGTCTCGCTTCTCGTTTCCCCTCCAAATCTTCCTTGACACACCTGCGCTTGTTCCCACAAGTAGCTGTGTCTCTCCTCTTAACGAAGCATGTGACCCTCACCTGCCTGAGCCAAATCCTGCTGAGATGCCACAAAACTCCTCCCAGACCTAATGCGTCTCATCATCTTCACCTGATCAACTAGTAAGCTAGGCTGGGTTCTCTTGCCTGCCTCAGTCTCTTGAAGTGCATACCCCACAGTTCCCAGTGCCTCAGAGCCTGCCGTGTTCATGGAGACGGGGACATTTCTGTTTCTTGCAATGTGTCCACTTCCCCTGGCTCCCATGAACTGTCAGCTTCAACATCCTCTGATGTCCCTTGAGTACCTCCTGAGTCCCCAACCACCACTTCCCCATCTTTATTTACCTCACCGGGATCCTCTTTCCCTTCCTCAGTGTCCTGCCAGTTCATGACAATAAGTCACGGAAGATAGGAAGAGAGATTAAGATGGCGGCTGTAACAACTTCTCCTTCGTGAACCCTCCGGATTACAAACCTTTTATAGCCTTTTATAGCTTTTTACTGCCGTTTTTATAGTTGTTTTATTAGACTTTTAAATTATTTTACTTCTGTTAGAAGTTTTTAATCGTTTTACTTCTACGGTTGGCCTGTTGGTGCCAATATACGTATCAACAAGGATATTCAAACCCTCTGCTGAGAAAGCCTGTCGCTGATTAGTAACGCCGCCTTGAAGACTGGGCTATGTTGAGAAGTGGAGGAGGAGGAGTAGCAGAGGAGTTGCGCCCATAAAAGATAAGTTCTCTCTTTTATCTCCGTTTATCTCTACTTTGAACCTCCGTAGTTAGTGAGACAGCGACAAATGGGTCATGGCAAGCGACCAAGATCTGCTGAGAAAGGTTGCTCACCTCCAAGAGTAAAGCAGTCGAAGCTTGAATCTCCCCACCATCTACTAACAATAACAGCAAAACAGAGCAAGTAATTGTTTCTGCGGTCGAAACATACAACCGCTTTTGGCCTCTGTATGATCAAGGAGAGCCGGAAAAGCTAGCTGATCCAGCGGGGACGGAAGCCATAGGGAAGCCCTCCTCCCTGATACCCTAATTACACCTCCGTCATTGAAACGGGACGCATTAGGGCAAACTGCCCATGAATTAGTACCTGATCAAATACAACTGGTAATCAGGACTTTAAGCTTCATTTTCAAGGAATTGGAGGGATTTCTTTGACATTGAATAAACTTTCACGGGCCCTTCTGGCTCATCTACCTTCCTCAACTGAGCTATCTAATTTGCATCAATCTCCTGTGCAGCTTGTAAGTGCCTTAAAGAGACAACCTGACCAGAAATTTCACCTTAAGAGCTCAAGATGCAGGCCGCCACTGCCCCAAAGGAATAGGCAATCCTTGATTTTTCAACCTAATAAAATATGTCTAGCCATTTTTTCCCGTGACGCCCCCAGACTTAGGTGGAATAACCTGAGGATGGCTAAAGGGTACCTACGTGATTTGTTAAATATTCCTTTGTTCCAGATAGATCTTATATCTGTAGTACCCCTAATTGCCACGCCCTGGCCAAGGAAATTTATGCTCTCCTTCCAGTCTGCAAGGATCCCACATCTCCTTGCAAGAGAGAAAGATCGGCTGGCACCCTGGGAGATTGTAACAACAAGAGTCTTTAAGGACACGAGTGTTAAACCTCTTTTTGCCAACATCTTAACCGGCAATGAACGCTCGTTTCCTCCTTCTGTTCCTATAATAAAGGGGAAAACACCTAGCTGGGTACCCCTGCTCCATCTGCGACCTCAAGTGCCCATCTAGCTACACTGAGGAATGATCCAATTGCAAGCGGAGATTGGAATATCCCTGAAGAGAGAAATCTTATCTTCTCCTATGGAAAACTCCCTTCAGAAGAACAGCAGGCTATTCTCGATAGATTGGATCTACTCAAACAAAGACTCCTATCGCAAGGGGACCCCTCTATGCCGATGAGAGAGGAGAGCAGGCACTCCACGTCCCACAAGGCGTCTCCATCAAATGCCCTGATAATCTCTCAACCTGCTACTTTGTTACCCCCTACTGATCTGAATCAGCAATCACCTGTTGACCAACAGCTCCAACAGCACCATTCTACCGTGGAGGAAGTTGATAAACTCAATACTCCCGTCTTAGACCTTATGTCCAATCAAAATATGGAAGTTGACGATTCCTTTGCCTCAATGCCTGAGCTAGAATCTACCCTGTCTGAAGATCACCAGGAAATGACTATGCATGTACCATCTCCGCGTTCACGTCCTTCTATACATCTGCGTGATAATTCTTCTCCAGCTGCGCAGCAACTACAAGTGATGACTGGAACACCTCCTAGTGCTACCCTGGTTAAGACTGATAACTCTGATGGATCTACTAGTATAGCCCATCAAAGACTTGCTACTACTCACCTCAATGAACAGCATCCGACCTCACCAACTTTGCCTAATTCTTCCTCCCCGGCAAAGCCCTTCCTGCCTGTTAATGTTACCAAATCACGGATTCAATCAACACAGAAGAAGACTTTATCCGCACAAACTAAAATTACTGATTTCCTTATGGGTCCTCGCTCTACCTCCAAGAACCCATTAAACAACTCAAAGTGACAATTACCGGGACAGCACAAGGACCCGACATTATCAATACTTAGCTGGAACATTGCTGGTTGGAGAACCAAAAAATCAGACCCCGAATTCAGGAAGTACATAAATTCATTTAACATCATCCTATTCCAAGAAACATGGGATGAGGAAGAGATTACCATAGACGGTTTTGATCTTCTAACACTTCCGGCCTCCCCTTCCTTGAAAGGTGGTCGCCCCAAAGGGGGTCTTTTGATTGGGATCTCACTCCAACTTCGCGCCAAATTCACCCTGGTACGGGCTTCCCGCCTTTTGCTCTTTCTGGACTGATCGCAGAAGGAAGTCCTCATTACTAATTACTAATGGTTATCTCCCCCGAAGGCTCAGCACCTGATCTTGATTGGAGATGGGAATCATTTGAAAATCACCTATTGTCATGTCATACCAAATGCCCTAACTCGTACTCCTTAATTGGGGGAGACTTTAATGCTCGAATTGCCACAAATTGGGACCTACTAATCAAGTCCAAATGGTGGACTCCCCATGTTTGGGCAACTTTGACTTGGAACATGCTAGAATTAGAACTTCAAAGGACAACAGAGTAAACAAAGCTGGAGTGACCCTTTACCAAATGGCCATTCGCCTGAATCTAGTATTCTTGAACGGCACCTTCCCCGATATACCGGGGGAGTTCACTCACCTGGGACCAGCATCTAACAGTGTTATCGATTACCTCTTGATCTCCGCAAATTTGGCCGTCAATGTACTTTCCTTCCAGGTTGAAAACCAACATTTCAGTGATCACCTCCCAATAGTGACCACTTTGTCATTGTTCCGGTACCAGAAGGACTATAAACACTCAGTCCCTCTGGAAACCTCATCAGCGACCAAAATAAGTGGGATCAAATGGTCGGAGGCTGTGGCCCAAAAATACCAGGATTTTTTCCATAGGGAAATCACTGCCTATCTACCTCAAATAGCTACTGATTTACAAGATTCCAATTCGGTTTTGAAATTTTTTAACCTTCTTACAACAAACCTTACCACTTTTTTTACATTACCTCCTCAAAAGGCGAAAGTAGCGCATTGCAGTGCTGGGGCCCCTTGGTTTAATACCTCTTGCAAACAAGCAAGATCCCTTCTTCGTTCCATCTATAATGAATACAAAAACTCTAATGCCCAGGCTCTACCATCCTCCTATTTACAAGCCAAAAGAGCATACAAACAGACTTTAAAGCTGGCCAAACGTGAGTGGTATCTAAAGCGTTGGCGAGCCTTGATTGCGGCCTCTAGATCCCGCAGACCACAGGAATTTTGGGCTTTGATAAACAAAAGAGGAAGGAAGTACCCACTGACGATTATCCCTGCGCCCACATGGGAACAATTCTTGAGCAAATATTTCTCCTTGGCAGAGGAATCCAACTCATCCACTGAATTCCGAGCCGACCATCTACCTTTGTGGCCCTCTACCGACCCAGACCTGATAATGGACTTGATATTAGATCTGAAAACGGGCAAAGCCCCCGGGCTGGATCTAGTCCCTGCTGAGGCTATTGTTGCGCAACCGAGGTGGTGGGCTGAAATCCTGGCCAAAGTCTTTGATGCAATTAATTCTACGGGGCTTATCCCTAGGTCATGGAAGGAGGCCGTGATCGTGCCAGTCCATAAAAAGGGTCCCCTGCTGACCCGGAGAACTATCGGAACATCAGCCTTTTGTCTATCATCGGGAAAATCTATGCAAAATTTTTGCTGTCCAAGCTGTCCAATTGGGCAAACGACTCAAATTTGATTGGCCACGAGCAAGCGGGCTTTAGGAACAATTATTCGACCACTGACCATATGGTAATCATGTATCATCTTGCCAGAAAATATTCTGCCCCGAGTCGGGGGCGCCTATGTGTCGCTTTCATAGACCTAAAGGCCGCCTTCGACAGTATCCCAAGAAACTGTCTATGGAAGAAATTAGAGAGATGGGGCATAGATAGAAGGCTGTTATGGCTTATAACCCAATTACACCATGGGTCGTCGGCTAGAGTGAGACTCACACCGGCGGGAAACCTATCCAACGAGGTCCCAATAAATAGAGGTGTGCGCCAAGGCTGCATTTTGGCCCCACTCCTCTTCAACTTGTTTATTAGCGATATGAAGCTCTTTCTGAATGAGTCTCAAGCCAACATTCATGCCCCCCGCCTAGCTGATTTTCGCTGCCCTCTGCTCTTATATGCCGACGATGCAGCGATCCTTTCCTACTCTAGAGTCGGTTTATGCAGAGCTCTAAAGATTTTTGCGGCTTATTGCAAACTCAACCATCTGACAATTAATCATGGGAAATCTAAAGTCCTGGTCTTTACCAGGTCTCGGAAAACTTACAGCTGGAAGTTAGATGGAGTCCAATTAGAACAAGTTTTCAAATTTAAATACCTGGGAGTCTTTTTTCACTACAACCTAAGCTGGAAGCCACAGATACAGTATTTACTAAACAAAGGGAAAACAATACTTTATACTCTACTCCAATTTTTTGCGGCCGACGGAGCCTCCCACATCCCTTCTGCATTGAAGGTGTACCATGCAAAAGTGGTTTCCACCCTCTGTTATGCTGCCCCGCTCTGGGCCCCAGGGTCCAATTTAACATCGTTGGGGACATTGCAGAATCAGTTTCTCCGTCGCCTCCTGAAACTCCCCATGTGTGTGAGCAACGCAGCCATACGTCTGGAGTTAAGGATTGCATCATTGGAGACGGTCATCTGGAAGCGAGTCTTTGGTTATTGGCTGTCCAGCTGGCACAGGCTTCCCAACCATTACCTTTTTCAGTGCCTCTGGCGGGACGACTTTGTCAATCCATGGGTAGGAAAAATCCATGCCAAACTTCTGAGCATCGGAATTTCCCCAGCGGACTCCTTAAAGATGAACTTACGCTCAGCCAAAAGACTTATTGAGCAGAGATTAGCAGACATTGAAAATCAACACAACCTCGCCGGGGGTGAGGGTGTCTGCCCCCCAGGTATCACGGAATAACCTCACCACTTGGCCTTCCATCATACATGTCATCTCTTTCATCTGTACCACACCGACATGCATTTATTCGTGCAAGGTTCAATGTCTTTCCATCGAACCTGCTGAGCCACAGATTTTCCAAGGGTTTGGTGTCTCCGCTATGCGTGTGTGACGGGAAAACTGTTGATTCTCTCTCACATATAATGTTCAACTGTCCCCTACATAGCATAGCCAGGACTAAATTCCTGGGCCCTGCTTTACTGCGCTTGGTTGGCAGGCCTGCTGAGTCACATGCCGCACTACTTTTGCAGGATACAGATCCTTCTGTAACTCTGCAGGTGGCGAGATTCCTGAATGCAGTTATCTCACACACAAAAACCACCAAAAACAACAACATCAAAAACTAATCGGACAGTTTTGAAGAGAGTGCATGTCGGATCCCGTCTTCAGTTCTCCTTTTCTGGGATCCGTCCCTTGGAGCTCTCCGGGCCCCAAGCTGTTATCTGGCTCTGCTCAATGACCCACCCCTGCATCATGGTGTTCACCTTCTGGTGCCGAATATATTAGTCTTTATGCCTCTGTGCTTTTATGTTTGTACATACTTTATGGGCTAATAGCCGTAAATAAATAAATAAATAAAATAAAGTCACAGTAAACTCAATGGGGTTTACTTCTGAGTAGAGATGGGTGAATCTGTTGTTTTAAACATTTCCACATTGGTTTGGGGTTGTTGTTTTAAAGTCCTCATGAAAATACATCAGGATTTTAATGTGAAGTTGTTCTAATATACATATTTTTGTCTGCAATTTCCCTCAATATAATGCTTGTGTGTGTGTAATTTTCCCTGATATATTCATTTTTATGCATACTTTACTTCAGTATATACATTTTTGTACAAATTACTTAACTTAGTGGGCTGGAGAATTGCACTGCAAAATTCAAAGAATTTTGAAGTATAGCTTTGTTTTAGTTTGTAAATATAATAGGTCAGTTCACCTTTAAATGCAAACTGAATTGAATTTCTCCCTCATCACTACTTCTAAGACACATGTAGGATAGGATCGTATTGTCAGTCACATGAATATTAAATCTAAGTTGTTATTGTTCTTATTGTTTAAAGGAGCTGTAGTGGTTGGAGAGGGAAAAGGTGCTAATCTCTACCTCACATACATATTTTATTGTAATTCTTGCAACAACTCTTTAAGGTGGGTCAGTATTATTATCCGGATGATGATGACGACGACAATCAAAAGAGAGTAGTTTATGTAAGGCTACCTATTGGGCTCGTTCAAACCAGAGACATTCTGACTTACAGTTCAGTCTCTTAGCGATTATACTTTACAGTCACAATGTCACTCAAAGCATAACAGGAAATCGGAAATTCTATAGTATAATTTATCTGTATTCCAGTTTAGATGTGAAAGATGGATAGAAATGTTGAATTGGTCAAGCTATTTGTCAAGTAAACCAAAATTTCTTGCGTTCTGTTCATGTAAACATCTGCCTCACCATGGCGTTCTCCTGCTGAAATTAAAAGAGAAATAATGTGGCTGGAAGGAACAGAAAGAGTTGCTGTTTTTTGTGGCATTGACAATGTTTGGTGCTATTCAAAGCCAGATAATAAGAGGCATCAAATCTCATGGTCCCGGCTGTAATATGATGAGCTATAGGTCTTGGGCAGGAATTTTCCCACACATTGATGCATAACATTGCTCAATAGCCCACATGCATTGTGGGTTGGCATTGACTCTGAAACCCATTTCACATTTCACAAAGATTTATGATTAAATTGTACAGATGTGTATCTGCTGAAATGGAGTCTCTCATGAACTAGTGGTAGTAGGAGCATAATGTTTAGCTACTCAATTCCATGCATTATTTTTATTTTTTTGGAAGTTCTGCTGTGCCCAGTGGGTCTTACTGCCTCAAATACATATTTATGATTGCCACCTAATGGATATGGAATTGGTGGTTGGGGAAGGCAGGGCAAAGGCACTGGAACTTAAAACTGTAACTAAATCCTGAACAAGTGACTTTGGTTGATAATGATTCTTCATAACTGCTTTCATCACTTTTTTTGCTCATAATGGATAATACAGTGGTACCTTGGTTTGCAACCATGATCCATTCCAGAGGTCCGTTTGTAAACCAAAATAGGTTGTAACCCAAGGCGCACTTTCGCTAATGGGGCCTCCAAAATTTTTTTGTTCGTAATAAAAAAAAATGGGTTGTAATCCAAAAAAAGGTTGCAAACCGGGACACACACTTCCGGGTTTGACGTGTTTGTAATCCAAAACGTATGTAAACCAGGACGTATGAAAACCAAGGTACCACTGTACTATATATGCAGTTTACAAAAATGTATGTCTTTGGATTGGATGATTGCTAGACTTTTTCTTGTGTACTTACATGTGCTCACCCACCAGCAAGTTGTCATCTTGCTTTACACTTCTATGATGGTTAGCAAATGTATAGCCCCCAAAGCCTCCAGTGGCTCTGCATAATACTAATACAGAACATATTTTTGTTATATGAAAATAGTTTATAGTTACCCTGTCTTAATTCCAGTTAGCCTAAATGGACTGTTACAGTTTGTGTTTTTGTTAATAATTCTTTTGGGTTGCATCCAAACTAAGTTGGCTGAAATTAGTTACCACTGAAATCGATTGAACTGAAGTTATGACTAATTGTCCCATTGATTTCAAAGGGACTGAGGCCAACCTATTGGTGTTGAATGGAAAGGAACATTAGCCACACAATTTGTACTTCAGAAAACTCCACTTATAGTATGTTACAGCCACTGTAATTTTCATTATCCAGGTTGCTGCCTAATTTGAAAGATGCTATTTCTGAAGCATCAGTTGTGCTAATAAGCATCATGGAGAGTGTTCTGTTCCAGGGTTAGACCAGAGGTGGAGAACCTTTCTCAGGCTGGATGAAGAACTGGCCATCCCCTGAACACCATTTTGACAAGTAGGTGGGGCTGCCCTCCTGTCCATCACCTACCGTGATTATGATGTCAGGTGGCAACTTCAAAGGGACTGGCTGGCAGCACCAACCAGCTGATTGGCATTGGCAGTGAGCCCCTTTGAAGTTGTCTGTTTTCCAGGCTGTGGATTCATTGAATTCAAACCATGCCTACAATCAGATACTGCTTTTCTGCAGACCAAGTTCTCCTCAAAGGAAAAATATCTATTTGCAGACACAAACTGAATCCAAATCACATTTGCAAATGGACAATTTCAAATGGGCTTGCTGTCTGCACGAATCAGCTGGTCGGCACTGCTGGTGAGTCTTGCTTGCTGAAAAACAATTAGGAGCATGCTAGTTTTTTTTGTAGCTACATACTTACCTGCCCCACACCTCATGTCACATATGATATCAGGTGTGGGGCAGTTGGCCACTGTTTAGCGGAAATGGCATTATCTATACTTCCTATCGGCGTTTCCATGCGCTGCTCTGGTTCTCCAGAAGCGGCTTAGTCATGCTGGCCACATGACCCGGAAGCTGTACACCAGCTCCCTCGGCCAATAAAGCGAGATGAGCGCCGCAACCCCAGAGTCAGTCACGACTGGACCCTTTACCTTTACCTTTACCTTTATACTTCCTACCACTGAAGATTCAGCTTGGAATCTAATGATTTATTGTGCTTTGGTTGTTACCTTCCTTGTTTATCGTCAGTAGTAAAGGTTCTTCAAGGCAACTTTCAGGGACAGATGTGCAGTATTGTAAAGAAATGTACAATGAATGTACTCATTTGTGAAAACTGCAAATGAGGGGGCCGCCAGGGGCGCATTGGAAGATGGCCGACAATAGCATCTCTCCGGCTCACATGAGGTAATTAAGAGGCTGATATGGGAGTATGCAGCCTCCCTTGTTGCCCCAAGGAAATGGGGAACACTGCCTTGCCTGCTGTGGCCATAAATCACCCCCGGATTCGAAAGAAGGGGGTAAGGGCACTAGGCACAAAGCCCTTATGTGGGTCCGGCTCTCCCGGACACTGTCTCTGATCACGCACTGGTTGCATCAGCTCGAAATAAACAATTAGAAAGAAGCAAATGCACATATTTCAAGTGAAGAATGGGAGTGAAGACTGCTAATTCAAGTGACCTCTGTGAAAGTAGAGCGACGGGTTGGATTTAATTGGATTTAACAGGAATATATCATGAAGAAGATACATCAAAGGTTCGGTAATGTCGGAGCAGGACTGGATGGGGGGGGACTTTTTTATTTTCTTCTATGTGATTAACCAATAACCCCTCCCCAAGAAAGAACCGTCGCATAACTGACCTAAGCAGGATGATTAAAAACTGTGTGGAAATGAATTACTAACCAAAAGTTTGGTTTTATGGAGATCGAGAAAAGAACAAGGACTTTTGGAATGACGCAGCAATAAAAAGGGAGCTGCCATGTTGGCAGGTTCTGTCGAAAAATTGATGATCGGGAGGAGGAAGCTATGGATTTGTTTTCATACTGGATTCCTGGCAAAATCTCCTCAGAGGACTGAGAAAGGGAGTAACAGACCTGTGAAAATTAACGAGTGGACGGTAAGAGTGTTCTTTGTTATGGAAGCGATGAAATGCGGTAGCCGTCTGAATATGATTCTTGGACGAATGGAAAAACCCACACAGGATTACAATTTGTTTCAACCCGCTTGTGGAGACTATCAGAGGTCACAAAGGCAAAGAGAAAGGAAAAATACATGAAAATAACAAGATGAGATGTGGAAAATATCAAGAAAGGATTGGATAGAATTGTGAACATCATTTGAACAGATTTGTGGACATTAAAGCAGCAGCAACAAGATGATTGGATCCCTTTCGGAACTTGAAATATGGGTACCCCCAACAAAAAATTAAAATTCGGCTCTGTAATTTGGAATTTTATGTGATTTGATTTGATTGGTCTGTTAATAAAAATTATTTTTAAAAAAGAAGAATGTACTCATTTGTGAAAACTGCAGTGAGAATTTACTCTACAGAAAATGTTTTGGTCTTCATGGGTTTTAACTTCATCTTGGGTGCTTCCATAACTGTTATAATCAATTCTATGTGCAATAGTGTTTCTCAGGAAAATGTCACATATGAGTACAAAATAGCATTAATAAGAACTCCATTGACTAAAGGACACTTGACAATGAAAAGCAAACACCTTGAATTGGCTATTTATTACAAAGTGAATACTGAAGCTGAATATCGTAGAATTTTTCATACCTTCCACATTCATTTTGTGGTCACTTGTGCAGATTATTAGTACCATAAGATAAATGTCTGGAAATGTAAAGCCTTTAATCCTAGAATTTTCATGCGTGTCCTTTAAAGATTCTGATATCGCAACATGACATTAACTAAATTTATCCATAGCTATGAATAATATTATTCCTATCACTTCTTGAACTTTTATTATCCTGGTTTCTAAACATATAAGAAAGTTAGAGCATACCATTTTACAGTTACACAAATTATTACTACTGGTGTAGAAAATATTACTGCTTGTATTTGAGTTGATTGGATATTTATGGTGGTGTGTGGCAATGTTTACAACTACAATACTATTGATACGGCCCTACTCCCAGGAAAGTGTGTATTGCATTGAACTCAATTTCTAGCAGATGTGTTTAGGATTAGCCTGCACATCTAACTTTTTAAAGACTAAAATTTTAAAACTGCTTAGTATTTTTTTTTTTTTGCTTTGAGAAATAGATGGTGGAGTAAATGGAAATCATTTTATTATTGTCACTCGGGGTGATACTCAGCCATATCTTTCCATGCCACTGGCACCAGATGAAGCTGTGCAGCTCTTTAGTTAAGGTCTTATTTAAGGTGGTAATTGGTTGGATGAGGCCCAATCAACTGTAGCTGAATCCTGACTAGGGAAGGTACTGAGACTTGGTGGCTCTGAGGTCGAGAAATAGTAAGGTGATCTGTTCTCAGGGGGTTGCATTCTCCCTAAGAAATCGGGTCCATAATCTGGGGCTCAATAGCAGATGGAATGGTGGGGCCGCACCACCCACCTAATTCCTGCTGTGTCACTGTTGCATGAAGGGGGGTGAGGTTAGGGTGGTGTGAACTTGCTGGCAGGAGCACTAGATTGGCTCTGCTGCTGCATTTGCAGAATGTCAACTTTATCATCATTGTCCCTCATCCTTTTTGTCCTGGCATGCAGCAGCCATTCAGCTGGAGGAAGATCAAGAGAGTGATGCAGTCCTAATGCAGTGTCTGTTACTGGTGGGGTACTTCTAGATTGTACATTGTCATTTGAGATCCAAGTGGCCTCAGAAGCACAAGCTGCCCGTTCCCCAGCAACAGCCTGGTCACCAGTCATGACCGTTTCTGGACAGTGATAACCTGGCTGTGGTCATCCATGTGGTAGTAACCTCCCATTTGGACTATTATGATTTGTTCTATGTCGAGCTGCTCTGGAATATGGTTTGGGCCTTGCAGCTGATGCAAAAGGCAATGGCTATAGTTTTGATGGGCCCTTGTAGTGGAACCATCCATCCACAAAGGCATTTGCTACGTATCCATTATCAAGCTCCATTCAAGGTGTTAGTTTTGGTGCATAAAGTCTTAAAGAGCTTGGGACCTGATTACCTGAAGGAGTGCTTCTTCCCATATTCTCCTCCTCAGATTTTATGATCAGCTAGGGAGCCCCTCTTGGTTATACAATTTTTGAATTAGGTTAGGAAAGCTATGACTCACCAGAGGGACTTCTTGGTCTCAACACCCCCGCTTTTATGTTTAACTGAACTATGTACTATCTATCTTTCTGATCAGCTGAAGACATTCCTCTTCTGCCAGGCATTTCAGACATGCTTTTTGGGGCCTGCATTTGGGCAGATGGAGATAAATACTGCATTTTTATCATCTCAGTTGAATTGTGCTGTTCAGTTCTCATCCTAGTTTAACTTGTGATGTTGATAGACAACAGGCCACTGGCAGAGGAAGAGGAGTGCAGGGGGAGCACACCGCCCCCTGCAGCGCGATCCCCAGGGTGCCATCGTGGCTGCCCCCCCCCCGCCCATGCTGGGCGCCCCCAGAATGCACGCCAGCCCCCTTGCCTTCTCTCTGTTGGAAAACCAGCCCCATCTGGAGAGGCTGTCCCCTCTCCCTGCTCCCAGAGCTGGCTTACCAGTGATCTGCCTCTGGCTGCGTTCCCAGACAGACCAGGGAGATCTTGATATATGCGACATCTCCCAGTGTGGGAAAATGCACACACACTTCTCCCCCTTCCGCAGGGGAAAGAAGAGTAGTCAGAAATCTATTTACATGATGTTTATTTCTGACATTACATCTCTACAGAAAACGTGTCCGATCACTTCAGTTTCTATCCAGCAAGTGACAAAGACTTCCTGTACATACGCAAGAGGAAGGTCTCAAATTACACACTTCACAAAGACTTTTCCAACCTGTGAACTTCCAGGAAAGTTCTTTCCCACAGCTAGCCATATCACATGATGTCAACAAGCTGACTGTCTGCAGCTGCGATGTTCTCATATTGTAACACTCTCCGCCCCCGGTGCCGGAGCATGAAGCTCCACCACTGCAACAGGCAACTTGTAAACACATCCAAACACGCTGATGTGTAGAACAACATGCAAATGCTGTTCATGAAGTGCTGCATGTTAATGTGTACATAGCCTAGGCCTTATATGAACAAGTTACATGGAGCTCCAAGTAATGCAATGTGATGGATGGCATTCAAGATGCATTCTTACTCCCCATTGGAATAGATGCTTTTCGTGTTTAATGGTGGACTTATTGTATGCACATTTACATGAGATCTAGGCATACCTAACCTACTTAACCTTCTCTGGGTTGAATATTGATTTTAGATGCAGTGTTAGCCAGTGTTTTGAGATCTGGAACTGGATATGGTATAGGTCTCACCTCTCCCATGGACTCATTGTGCAGTGCCAGCCGATTTGAGCATTTGAGCATCCTTTATTTTATTCTGGAATTTCTGTGCTGACACTTGGCTCCAGAGAGCCTTCCAGGCAGCTCACAACACATTGTAAAGATGAAAGCAGAACAGCAGTCTAGTAGTTAACTTTGTGCCTGGGACATATGTCCTTGAGAGGCAATTTTTGAGAAACAGTGTTATACTCTTTCCTTTTCTCATTAGGAAGCCTTGCTTGTGACCATATTTTAAAAGAAAATATGCAGATAGAGATAATTTGCTATGACTTTTTTGCCAAATCTATGAAGACATTGCTGTAAAAAGAAAACCCTGTTCCAAAAAAGAGCTTGTGTTTGGAAAGCATGAGCACAGATGAGCATTAGCCGTGTTACCTTTTCTCACTGGTACCAACCAAAGGTTTGCAGCAGCTCCATCTACTGGGGAACTCAGTGAAAATTTAGTAC